CGGCCTACGAGGACGAAGTGTCTTTTCTGGACACGAACAGCCGCTACCACACGGTGCACGAGCTGTCGGCGCGCGAGTGCGCCTGCGTGTGACCCTACCTCACCGGTCCCGGCCGGACAGCACCCACCGTTCCAGCTGTCAAACCCCGCGACAGACTGCCCATGCGCAGAAGATGCCGTCGAGGTTTCGGGACTCTCGCGATAACTGTACAGAGATAAAGTGTGGAAAGTCGATGCGGGTCTTGATTGTGCGCCCCGAGGGTGTCCACCTCCGGGAGGGGCAGGAGGACGTGTGAGGAAGTGGCCCCCTCTCCCCGGGGAAAAGGGGGATGGGCGCGGTTGTCACCTGCATGGTGGGGAGAAAGGAAAGATTCAAAGAGGGTCCTGTTTCCGGAGTACAAGTGGGGAAATGGGGTTAATGGGGGCTATGTCGGCGGGGACTGCCCTGCCACCTCCCTGCAGGCCCCTGGGCTCCTCCCCAGCATGTGCTTCTGGGGAGGGAGAAGGATCACCATGTAGAAGAGGAGACAGGCCAGCTGGACACAGTGATCCCAACGTGTCCCCATTCCCACCTCCACACCATGCGCTTCTGGGGAGGGAACAGGAGCAGTGAAGTCTGTGGAGGAGGGCGGAGTCACTGTGCAGAGGGGAGGCTGAGGTCCAGGTGGACCGGGCCTCCCTCACCGGACGGGCATCCTCAGGCTGGGTCAGCCCCCACGAGTGAACTGAAGCCACTATCTCCTTTTACCAGCTAAAAATACACACGCGCTGCCCATCTCCCTGCGGGGATCGCTCTGGGGAGGGCGCCAGCCCCATCCACCCCCAAACTGGCGCCTGTTGGGGCAGAGCTGGTCCCGAGGGATCGAGGTCCTGGCCCATAAAAACCCTGGCCCGAGTTCCAGGGGGGATTTATGAGGAGCCCCCGTGGAAGATGGAAAAAGCACTGGGCGGTGTTTAGATTTGCCTGCAGTGTCACCTTGACGTTTGGCAGGCCGAGGAAGGGCACAGGGTTTTGAATTCCCAGAGCTGGGGGAGGGATCCGTGGGTCCCCTGCTCTGAAGAGGGACGGGTGAGGGGGTAGGTGCTGCAAGAAGAGGGCTGGCGCCCAAAAGACCAGAGGGTGTGGACTCTTCCCCTCCAGCCCCTCAGGCTGGGGGCTCCCAAGGGAACATCCCCTCCCCCCCCTTTGCTGTTTCCCTAGATGGCCCCCTCCCTTCCCTCCTGCACATCCGAGTTCAGGACCACCCTCTAACCACCACATCCATCCCAGACCCAATCCATGTCCAGAAGCTGGAGGGCTCGAATCAGAATCTTCCCCAAGAAGGATCACCTAGTCAGGCAGGCACCTCCCCCAGCTCCCTGCTCCCCAGGGCTCTGGTTGCAACTAGAGAAACTTGAGGCAGCTAACGGGCAGGACTTACATGGAGCTCCAAAAGCATGGCTGGCAGCCAGGCCCCACCCAGCCAGTGGGTGGTCTGTTTGGAAGGCAATTTCAGGATGGAGGCTGGCTGGGGCCCTTGCCTGCCCCCGCAGTATTCTGACTCTGAGGTTTGGGGTGGTGTATTTCTCCACTGTTTGGGCTGACTCAGCCCAGTGTGGCAGAGGCTGGGGTTCCCAGACACTGCAGAAGCTGAGCCTCAGTTTCCCCATTGTAGATGGCTCTGAGCTTCAAAGAGGGACGTTGCTGCGCTCAGGACATACAGCAGGCTTTGGAGCCTGGGTTTGTGGCTGCCTCAGGGTGTGTGTGTATACGAGCGTGTACACACACACACACACTCCCGCAGCCTCCAGGGACCTCAGCCTCCCGTCTCCCACCCAGATCCAGCATCCCAACCACAGAGCTCTGGCTTAGCCCGCCAAATAATTGAAATGTAAACAGAGCTGCCCCCACAGACCCCTGGGCAGGGGTTCTCAACTCATGTCACACACACACACACACACACACACACACACACACACACACGGCGCAGAGATTGCCACCCACATGGGGCTTAGCAGACAGGATCACACGTAGACCCACAGCCCACATGCTTACACACTCAGTTGTCATTCACACTCAGAACTGCACACTCAGAGAGGGGCACCCTCAAAGTCACCACTCATTCGAAAATAAAAGGACACAAGCCCTAGCCAGTTTGGCTCAGTGGACAGAGTGTCAGACTGAAGGGTCCCGGGTTCGATTCTGGTCAAGGGCATGTACCTTAGTTGCAGGTGCCCCTGACCTGGTTGGGGTGCGTGCAGGAGGCAACCAATTGATGTCTCTCTCACATCAATGTTTCTGTCTCTCCCTCTCCCTTCCACTCTTTCTAAAAAACATCAATGGAAAAATATCCTCGGGCGAGGATTAACAACAACAAAAAAGAGACCCAGGATCACACATTCTGCCTGCGTGCTCACGTGTCACACACAGCGTCACACTCTTCTCCCCGCTCTCCTTTGAGGGGTGGGCCCTGCCCTTGTGCCAGCCCTGCCCACACTAACCCCAAGACAGCCTGGCCCCCGCTTTCCAGTCCCTCTGGGCCTTCCTCTCCCCACTCTGCCTGAAGGGCTTGCTCTCAATGGGTTTTACACCTCTCGACATTTGTAGCCGACCATTCTGGGTCTGGGAGCCATGCAGGCTGCTGAGCAGCATTCCTGCCTCCTACCCACTCGATGCTATCAGCCCACCCCAAGTCTTGACAACTACAAATGTCTCCAGACGTTGCCGAGTGTGGTGGTGGTGGGGAGGCGGGGGGGCGCAGAGTCGCCCTGGGGTGAGAACCGCTGTTCTAGAATAGGGGAGGACACATCAGTTTTTATCAGAACGTTCCCATCTGGAAAATGGTACCAATATTGCCCGCCTGCCTGCCTGCCTGCCCCACAGGCAGTTACCCAGCTGCAAGCAGACCCAGCGGGGCCACGGCAGTGAGCGCCTTGGTAGGTGAAGTCCGCAGAAGCCAGCATTTCCAGCAGCTGAGGCCCCTGGCAGGTTAAGGCCCCGGAGCCCAGATTCTTGGCAGCAGAGGTGCCCAGTAGGTGAAGTCCCAGGTAAGTGAGATCAACAACCACGGTCTCCAGGAGGTGAGATTCCTGGGAGGTGAGGGCCCCAGCACGTGATACTCCCTCTCCGCATCCCCAGTGGGTGAGGCCCCTGTCAGGTGAGGTTCCTTAAAGCAGAAGCGCTGGCACGTGAGGCCCCAGGCTGGTCGGCCCATGTGAACCAAGAAGCAATGCTGGTCACTGTCTGGTAGGTGGGCTCCTGCTATAGCCGCCAGCAGGCCTTGCACAACATCAGGGCCCAGCTGAAGGATCAAGGCTGCAGCATCCCCCGCCAGTGGAAGTAGCTTAGGGAGCCGACGTGGTCTTTATCCAGGGCCAGCTCCTTGGGGCTCTGGAAGTTGTCCATGTGGACGAAGGTGTTGGGCGGCGGGAATTGTCCGCGGTTCCTCCTGCTGGGGCAAAACGCCATGGGCATGGTCCAGGCCGGCAGCGCATGCTTCCCCAGCTTCTCTGTGATGTAGTTGGGGTGCAAGTTCTGCAAAGCCAGGTCACACTTGTACTGGGACAGGCACTAGGTCGTGAATGCCTGTGGCAGTAGCTTGTGGGAGCGCCCATCCACGTCCACTTGGAGATGAATTTAGATCATCTGGTTGAATCCTTCCTCCGGTCGGACACTACCCAGGCCACCAGCTCGGTCTTAGCTGAGAGGTTGACCTGTGCGTTGGCCGGCTGGCCAGGCCATGGCTCCAGCCAGCCATACCACCCGAAGATGTCCGAGTCTCTGCAGCAGGACATGGGAGATTGAAGTACCCATTCAGGGCCCTCAGTTGTGGGCAGTAGCCAAGGCAGTTTCATGTTAAACCAGACACAGCACTGGCTGGTCGGCCTCAGGGAAGGAGGAAGCTGGGCCTGCGGTCAGCAGCTAACCTCTAGGATGCACGAGAGCCGCGCCCACCTGAGGGTACATGCTGCGGTTGGTGGCCGAGTGGCAGTCAGCAATGCCAGGCCACAGCTCTGAGCAGTGGGGTGCTGAATGCCCATGTCCACAGCAGGAGAAGCAGGAGTGGGTGGGTGGGGGGCTCCCCCAAGGTGGCCTGGCTGCCCCCCCCCCAGAGGATACTGGCCCTGCCCACCCATTAGGAGCTGTGGTGAGAGAGTCCATTGTCAACTCAGGGGACCACATGGGCTCGGGGGACACACACAGGTAGGAGAAGAGGCACAAGGCCAAAAGCAGCTGTAACAGCCCCCCAGGGAGCTAATGGTGCCAGGGACATCGTGTCTTGGCCCAGTCGAGCGGATCCATGGGTCAGAGCAGCTGGGAGGAGGGAGAGTGGAGACAGTATCACTGATAAAAATAACCCATGCCGAGGGGGCACACGTGGGCCACCAAGGTTAATATCCCCGAGTCCTGAGGTAGGCACCGGTATGACTCCTGTTTTACAGATGAGAAAACTGAGGCCAGTGATGCAGAGCGAGGAAGTGGCGGAGCTGGAATTCCAACGAAGACCGTCTGACCCGAGTCCACTTTCTCCTGGCACTTAGGCAACATGGCGGTTTCTCTACCCGGGGAGGGTCCCCAGGGAAGGTGGGATAGGTCCCAAAGCTCTCAGGTCCCACCTTGACCCTGCCCTTTCTCGACTATCCCAGACTCTTCTCTGATCTGGGAGAAGACAGTTGGTTACAAGAGGCTTAAATCTGGGGCTCTGTCGGAGAGGGACACAGTGGATCTGGGTTTGAAGGTTAAGTAAGAACTCACCAGGTAGAGTATGAGTCAGGGGAAGAGTGTTCCTGGCAGAAGGAACAACCAATGCATAGGCCTGGAGGTGAAAGAGAGCCTGGCCTGTTTGCAGGGAGAGCAAAGAAAGTGCTTAGAGATGCCAGTGTGAACTTGATTTTATATTCACTTGGTGTTTCACAGTCACTAAGTGCTCAAAAATAGCTCCTCTGGGCCTGTCCTGGCTAATTTCCCTCCAATCCCAGTCCTTCCTGTCCCCAGGGGTGGTCATGAAGTCTTCCCAGGACCACACCACTAGAGAGGAAAGCTACGACCTTGGGTCTGCAGCCCTGGAGCTGCCCATTTCACAGGTGGGAAAACGGAGGCCCATCTGTCTATTGCCTGAGTACACACAGCTAGAGCCATTATGATCAACAACCTCAACTCTCCCCTCTGAATGTAACCCTAAACTTCTCTCCCACTTAGTCAGTGGAGCTCAGATCTACAGCCTGGCACTGTCTGATAGAACTTTCTGTGATCAGGGAATTGTTCTACCTCGCACCATCCCATTCACTGGCCACTAGCCCAGTATGGCTACTGAGCCCTTGAAATGTGGCTGTGGTGTCCCAGGAATGGAGTTAATGCTCATTTACATTTAAAAACATATATTCTCTTCCGTAAATTGAAAACAACTTCAAATAAAAAGTAAAAACAAACCAAAAATAATGTCTGGTTCCCAATTCAATGATTGGAAAATATGTAAGAACATTTGGAACACCCGGGATGTGAAAATCTGCTTTTCCACCGTATGTTTTATGGAGTCTAAGTACAGATCAAGTATCTAAAATGAAAAGTGGGTGTAAGCATTAGGTGAGCTGCCATAAAATACACATCGGATTTCCAAGACTTAGGATGAAAAAGAGAATAAAAATATCTCAGTAATTTTTATATTGATCACACATCAAAATAATACTAGTTTAGATCTATTGGGTTAAAGAAAGTATATTATTAAATTAATTTCATAAAATATACTCCAGATTGCCAAAACTTCATATGAAAATGTAGCTACCAGAAAAATACTAACTATACGTGTAGCTTGCATTGTACCTCTATTGGACAGTGTTCATTGCTCTAGAATTTTTTAGAAATATATTTTTATTGATTTCAGAGAGGAAGGGAGAGGAAGAGACAGATGGAAACATCAATGATGAGAGAGAATCATCGATTGGCTGTCTCCTGCACGCCCCATGACTGACAATCAGACCGAGACCTCCTGGTTCATAAGTCAACACTCAATCACTGAGCTACGCTGGCCAGGCGCTCTAGAATTTTTAAGAAAGAAATTATTGCCCTGACTGGTTTGGCTCAGTGGATAGGGCGTCGGCCTGGCTACGCCGGTCAGGCGCTCTAGAATTTTTAAGAAAGAAATTATTTATATGAATCATAATTTATTTAAAACCGATCTGACAGTATTTTTTTCACTTTATTTTTTAATATATATTTTCCCATCACCATTTATCCCCACTCTATTCTCCTCCACCTCCACCCACACCGCTCCCCTGTCTGTGTCCATGAGTTCTTGCTCTTTCTTTTTTGCTCAATCCCTCCAACCCTCTCAGGCCCTCTCCTCCAGAGCTGTCAGCCTATTCTCTATCTATGAATCTGTTTTTATCTTGCTTGTTAGTTCAGTTTGTTCATTAGAGTCCACATATGAGTGAAATCATATAGTACTTTTTCTCTGACTGGCTAATTTCACTTAGTATAATGTTCTCCAGGTCCGCCCATGCTATCACAAAGGGTAAAATTTTCTCCTTTTCTTTTAATGACTGAGTAGTATCCCAGTGTGTAAATGAACCATAGCTATTTTATCCACTCATCTATTGATGGACACTTGATGGAATTGCTGGGTCATAAGGCAGTTCCATTTAAAAAAATGGATATTTTCCCATTGATTTTTAGAGAGAGTGGAAGGGATGGGGAGAGACAGAGAGAGAAACATCTATGTGAGAGAGACACATCTATTGGTTGCCTCCTGCACTCGCCCTGACAGGGGCCAGGGATAGAGCCTGCAACCCAGGCACATGCCCTTGACCGGAATTGAACCCAGGACCCTTCAGTCCCTGGACCGATGCTCTATCCACTGAGCCAAATTGGCTAGGGCCATTTTTAAATTTTTGAGGTGTCTCCATGTGGCTTTCCACAGTGGCTGCACCAATCTACATTCCCACCAACAGTGCACAAGGGTTCCCCCTTTTCCACATCCTTGCCAACATTTGTTTGTTGGTTTATTGATGAGAGCCATTCTGGCAGGTGTAAGGTGATATCTCATTGTGGTTTTAATTTGCATTTCTCTGATGATGTGTCACATTGAGCATATTTTCATATGTCTATTGGCTATCTGTATGTCCTCTTTGAAGAAGTGTCTATTCAGGTCCTTAGCCCATTTTTTAAATAAACATTTAAAAATGTTTGTATTGATTTTCAGAAAGAAAAGAAGAGGTAGAGAGAGAGAAACATTGGTGTGAGAGCATAATATTGATCACACCCCCCACCCCACCCCACCAGGGAAGAGACTGAAACCTTTGATGCCTGGGACTCCAGCAGCCTCCACCCCACTCAGCCACAATCCCTGCTGGTTTTCACAGCCAGAAGTATGGGGAGTTCTCTTCCTGGCACTGGGCTGGGGGCCTAGTGTGGAGCTTGGACCCCTCACTTCGGAGGGAAACCTCCACAGCCCATTATCTCTCTTGATATTTCTCTGCCAAACTTGGGTGTGGGACCAGCCTTCCCATGTCTCCCCCCTCCTACCAGTCTTGATGTGGCTTCTTCTTTAATTTCACAGTGGTAGGACTTCCACTTAGCTCAGTTTCAGGTGGTTCTGAATGATGCTTGTTCTGTAGTTTAGTTGTAAGTGTGATGTGGTTGTGGGAGAAGGTGAGTACTGTGTTTACCTACACCACCATCTTGCCTGGAAGTCCTTCATTTTTTCTTTTGTTTCCTTTGCCCAAGAAGATATATCAGAAAAAAAATATTGCTGTAAGAAATGTCCGAGATTTTACTGCCTATGTTTTCTTCTAGGATTTTTATGGTTTCAAGTTTAACATTCAAGTCTTTAATACATTCTTTTTCTTTTATACATTTTGAGTTTATTCTTGTGTGTGGTGTAAGAAGGTGACCTAGCCCTGGTTGGTTTGCTCAGTGGTTAGAGTGTCAGCCCTCGGACCAAAGGTTCTCGGGTTCAATTCCCAGTTAAGGGCACGTACCTTGGTTGTAGGTTCCCCAGCCCTGATTGGGGTGCATGCAGGAGGCAACCAATTGATCTCTCTCCTCCTCCTCCCCGCTTCCTCTCTCTCTAGAAATCAATGGGAAAATATCCTCGGGTCAGGATTAAAAAATAAAAAGGTGGTCTAGTTTCATTTTTTTTTTGCATATATCTGTCTAACTTTTCCCAACACCATTTATTGAATAGACTATCTTTTAAAAAAAATATTTTTATTGATTTTTTACAGGAGAGAGAGAGAGAAATTCATTGTTTGATTCTTATATGTGTTCTGATCAGGGATTGAACTCACAACCTTGGTGTATCGGGACAATACTCTAACAAACTGTGCTACCCAGCCAAGGCTATGAATAGACTATTTTAGCTCATGGTATGTTTTTTGCCTCTTTTGTCAAATATTAATTGATTATAAAGGCATGGGGTTATTTCTGGTCTATTCTGTTTCATTGATCTATATGTCTGTTTTTATATCAGTACCATATTGCTTTGATTACCATGGCCTTGTAATATAGTTTTATATTAGGTAGCATGATTCCTCTAACTGTATTTGTTAATCCGCACCAGAGGATGTTTTTCCATTGATTTTTAGAGAGAATGGAAGGGAGGGGTGGAGACAGGGAGAGAGAGAAGCTCATATGGTATGTGTGGGGGCAACTGATTGATGTTTCTCTCTCATATCATGTTTCTCTCTCTCTCCCTTCCTCTCTCTCAAAAAAATCAATAAAAACATATCCTCAGGTGAGGATTGAAAAATATATATCTCAATAATTTTCTATATTAATTAACATACTGAGATAATGCTCTGGATGTACTGGGTAAAATAAAATATGTCATTAACATTAATTTTACTAGTA